GCGGCATTCGCATTGAATGCCGTGGTGGTATACACGCCGGTCTATAAGCGCAGATCCGCCATCTCATCCATTACCGAGCTGAGTACTGAAATACATACATTGTACATGTGCATGGCCCAATTGCAGCCTTCAGAGCTTTAATTAAGCCACACGAGAGACATATGAATAACACGAATATATGACACATTTAAAGTTCGACCAACAATACAAAATTTCCATGACAACTGGCATAATAGTCAGCAAACCGCTGGTTAATGGAAAGTGGATCAAGAACCCTGGAACCGTCTTTGACCTGTATAAAGGGCAATATTGGACAGGGCAGATTGTCCCTTAGCCAACCAAGCCATAAGGTGGCCCGCTTTATCACCCTGTTCAAAAATACATTGTTTTTGATGCAGCATATCCTTTTCAGGATGCCTCAGTGCGAAGCAACAAGGTGTCCCTAATAGCCAGCTGTAAATCGTGATGACTAACAGGACCTGGATTGAGCACATAATTCGATTCAGCTTCCTGCACCCTTCGGTCCATCAAGTCCACGTCCTCCTGCCATCTAACCTGCAGCCTCCCTATCAGGGTCCAATATTGACCCCAAAGAGTAGCCTTCCAAGCCTTCCAGGTAGTAATAGGCACAGCAGTATTCTCATTAAAGTTCCAATAATGCTCCAATGCCTTCCCTATAGGGGGTTCTACATCAGGATCAGTGATCCAATACCGGGATAAACCTCCAGACCTTTTCCCCTGGGACATCAGCAATACGTAATGTAAGAAGGAGTGGAGCATGATCAGAAATCCCTTGTGACAGGATGGAAATCTCCCAAACCCTCGCTAAAAGTGCAGGTGTAACATAACTAAGGTCAATTCTAGACAAAGTTCTATGTGATGCTGAGTGACAAGTGTATGCCCTGGTCCCAGGATTTTTCCACCTCCGTACATCCGTGAATTGATAAAGCTCCACCCACTTGGCCAACTCCGACTCCCCGCTGGCGTCTAGATATAATTTATCAACACTAGGGTCTGGAATAGGATCAAAATCACCAGTAAGAAGAACATGGGATGTGGGATTGGAGGCCAGGAGCGGAGTCAAGGCAACCAAAGAATGCACGGAGGCGGATGATAGAGCCCAAACAATTACCTTTTCAAAGCAGTTAAACATCGCATGGATTATAACATATTTACCCTTGGGGTCCAGCCTGAGATGAAGGAGAGTGAACGGCAATGACTTGTGTATAAAGACACTAACCCCTCAAGCATAAGAAGAGTATGTAGCATTATAAAAATGACCAACCCAAGCTCTCCTGAGATTCAATATACGGCCCGTCAAATGGTTTTCCTGCAAAATACAAATATGTGAGGCATAGGATTTGAGAAATTGGAAGACCAAGGAGCGCTTAATGGGGAGTTGAGGCCCCGCACATTCCAGGAGATACATTTCCGATCAGGGGGCGCCATAAGATAAATAATGGAGAACCAATTTGTAACTACTCAAGCTGAACCCCGGGAAGGAAACAGCGAACTGTAAACCAGACATCAGAAAAAGCCGTATATTAGCCAAATACCCTGCACAGACTGAAGCACATAAACAATCAAATGCACCGTGCAGCAGATAAAAAAAACAAAAAACACCCAAAAAACAATTAAAAAAAAAAACAACACTCCCAAAACCGGGAGAGCCATACTTCCCTGAACAAAAATAGGCAACAGGCCACGGGGATGTCCATGGAGTGATTACATAGAGCAAGTCGGAAGAGCTCCCATGTCGAATAGATGCCACCTCGTAGGTAGTGGGGTAAATCACTCGGTCATTGGCCAAGGACACTAACTTAAATTACAGCTTGTGAGATGGATGATATGAGATTCCAAGTGCAACTTGCGGAGCGGAACAGGTAACCGATTGACGAATCTTCCAAGGATGCCACAAGATCAGCGTGAGGTTGTAAGGTTTCCAACCAGGATGCTGCCTCCTCAGGCACAGTGAAGAAGCGTGTGGTTTTTTCCATCTTGAACTCTGCTCTTCGCAGGGAACAACATGCCATAAGTAAGGCCTTTTGCACGCAAATGAGCCTTAACAGCATCAAAGGAACGCCGTTGCCATTGGGTATCAACTGAGTAGTCAGGAAACAGCATTAACTTTTTCATATTGCAGTTCCCCCTGGGCCCTGGCCGCCCATATTGCAATCCTGGTAGTTAAGCAGCTTAAAAATAAAGGTGTGTGGCGGCGACCCATGCGGGCTCCTGGCTGCTGGCATTCGATGGGCTCTCTCGACCACAAAGAAGATGGAAAAGGTGGCTCGTGGCAGCGAAGGAGATTCTTGGTAAACTGAGGCGGATGGTCACCCTCTGCCCCTTTAGAAAGACCACCACACGGAGGTTGTTACACCTGCTGTGATTCTCCGCATCCTCTGATTTGGTTTCAAGGTATTAGACCTTAACCCGCAGAGTATGCATCTCTGCCGAATGGTCGCGGATAGTGTCCTCTGCATCACTAACATGCTGCTCGACCACAGCAACTCAGCCCCGGAATGATTCAAGATCCCTCTGGATCAGCCCCACATCAGTCTGCAGATGTTCCATTTTCGTGTTGAGCACCGTATGGCAGTTGGTAATCACCGTCATGAGAGAATTAAAGTCCGCCGGAGCAAGAGGTGTACTTGGCTCTTGGGAGACTAATGCCCCAGCGAAGAATGCCCCAGCTACCTTCTAGAGAGTCATGAACAGGGGCGGACTGACCATTCGAGCACTCGGGCACTTCCCGAGGGCCCGGGGTCAGTAGGGGGCCCCATGAAATGCCCCTGGTACCTTTTTATAGGCTTTTTTGGGTATGCTTTGAGTGTGGGCAAGGACAGAGGGGCCCCATGATCCCCCATTGCCCGGGGGCCCCATGAGTTGTCAGTCCACCCCTGGTCATGAACGCCTTCCTGGAAGGGCTAAAAACCCATGTAGTAGCCTACCTGGATGACATCACTGTGTTCAGACCTGCCTGGGAAGAACACCTGGTGCCCCTGTCACAGGTTCTAAACAAACTGACAGCAGCCAATATGACCGTCACAGCCAGTAAGAGTCAGAAAGGCATGACTGATGTCCAGTACTTGGGACACCAGATAGGGGGAGGCACTCTCAGACCCATGACGGGGAAGGTTGAGGCCATCCTGGCCTGGCCTATCCCAAAAACCAAAAAGGAAGTTATGTCATTCTTGGGGACAGCAGGCTACTATAGGAAGATTTGATGTAACTACAGTAGCCTGGCGAAACCTCTGACTGACTTAACCAAAAAGAAACTGCCCAAGGTGGTCTCTTGGACACCAGAATGTAATAGGGCATTTCATGCCTTGCAGGAATTGCTGGCCAGCACCCCATGCTGTTTCCTAGTGCAGACTGATGCCTCTGCCTACGGAATGGGTTGCAGTTCTGAACTAGGTGGATGAAGCAGGAGAGAAACATCCCATCCTCTACTGGCGCAGGAAACTGCTTCCAAGGGAAGCAGCATATGTCACGATTGAAAAGGCGTATCTTACGATCGTGTGGGCTCTCCAGAAGTTGAAAATGTATCTTTACGGACATCACTTCACTGTGATCACTGATCACAATCCCCTGAGCTGGCTAAATCGTGTTGCTGGGGAGAATGACAACTATTTTGGTGTAGCTTAACCACTTGCCCTCTAAAGGATTTACCCCCCTTAACTACTTGCCAAGTGCAGATAGCCAAATGACGGCTACACTGCGGCCGGCCAGTTCTGGGAGAGCATCATATGACGTCCTCCAAGAACGCGCTCTCCTGCGCGCCGCTACGGACACAGCTGATCACATGATGTGGTAAAAGGCCAATCATAGCGGCCTTTTACCATGTGATCAGCCGTGTCCAATCACACGCTGATCTCCGGGAAATGCAATTGCCGGTTCTCGGCTGCACTTTCCTCACGCTGTCAGAGCGTGAGGAAAGTACTGCCGAGAACCGGCAGTTGTCAGAGCAGGGATCAGCACCAATCATCAGGGCACTGATGATCAGTGCCCTGATGATCGGTGCCCAGCAGTGCCACCCACCAGTTCCGCCCACCTGTGCCCAGCAGTGTACCCTCCTGTGCCCAGCAGTGCACCCACCTGTGCCACACACCTGTGCCCAGAAGTGCCACCTACATGTGCCCAGCAGTGCCACCCACATGTGCCCACCCACCTGTGCCCAACAGTGCCACCCACCTGTGCCCACCAGTGCTGCCCACCAGTGCAGCCCAGCAGTGCTGCCAGTCAGTGCCACCAGTCAGTGCCCAGCGGTTGTGCCAGTCAGTGCCCAGCAGTTGCGCCAGTCAATGCCTAGCAGTGCAGCCAGTCAGAGCCCAGTACTGATGCCAGTCAGTGCCACCTATCAGTGCTGTATATCAGTGCCGCCTATCCGTGACACCTCATTAGTGCTGCCTATCAGTGCTGCCTATCCGTGCCATCTCATTAGTGCTGCCTATCAGTGCCCATCAGTGCTGCCTATTAGTGCCCATCAGTGCTGCCTCATCAACGCACATCAGTGAAGGAGAAAAATTACCTGCTTGAAAAATTTTATAATAGAAACAAAAACTTTTTTTTTTCAAATTTTTTGCACTTTTTTTGTTTATAGCACAAAAAGTAAAGTGCCCAGTGGCGATTAAATACCACCAAAAGAAAGCTCTATTTGAGAGAAACAAAATAGTAAAAATTTCATATGGATACAATCTTGCATGACCGCGCAATTGTCAATCAAAGTGTGACAGCAGTGAAAGCTGAAAATTGGCCTGGTAAAGAAGGGGGTTAACCACTTGCCTACCTGCCGCAGTGTATATACTGCGGCAGGGCGGCACCGCTGTGCTAAAGCACATAAAAAAACAGCGTCTAGCAAAACAGGTAGGGGGCGTGCGTAATAATTTGGAACAGTGCATTGTAAGTGTTTTATGTGTTAAAAAAAATACTGTTATCATTAGGAGGTTTGTTCAATAAAATTTGAATTGTACTCTTAATAGTTGATAACATGAGAATTATGCTGTCTGTTATTTACATCAATTATTTAGGTCAGTGGTTCTTAACCTGGGTTCGATCGAACCCCAGGGGTTCGGTGAGTCAGTCTCGGGGGTTCGGCGGAGGTGACCCACACCGACTCATATGATTTGTGATGACATGCCCCGCTTGTCCATCATTGGCTGCAGGTGGTCACGCAACATCGCTTAGCCCAGTGGTCGGCAAGCCGCGGCTCTTGTGTGCCGGGCGCCCGCTCCCCTCCCTCCTCTCGGGCGGCAGGGACTCAAATGCAATGATTGGCCAGTCTCGCTGCCACTCACATCCTGATAGCCAGTGATTGGCTGTCAGGATGTGTGTAGGCGGGGCAGTGTGACGAACGTGAGAGGAGCTAGGCTCCTCTCACAGTCCGCCCTGAAGACCGGAACGGCGCGGGAATACAGCGAGAGGAACGCGCAGAGCAAAGGTAAGTGAATTGACACAGGGGGGACTTGGGGACTTAATATGGGGGATGAATTAATATGGGGAATGAATTACTATATGGGGGATGAATTACTATATGGGGGATGTATTACTATATGGGGGATGAATTACTATATGGGGGATGTATTACTATGGGGGATGAATTACTATATGGGGGATGAATTACTATATGGGGGATGAATTACTATATGGGGGATGTATTACTATATGGGGATGTATTACTATATGGGGGATGAATTACTATATGGGGGATGTATTACTATATGGGGGATGTATTACTATATGGGGGATGAATTACTATATGGGGGATGTATTACTATGGGGGATGAATTACTATATGGGGGATGAATTACTATGGGGGATGAATTACTATATGGGGGATGAATTACTATATGGGGGATGTATTACTATGGGGGATGAATTACTATATGGGGGATGAATTACTATGGGGGATGAATTACTATATGGGGGATGAATTACTATATGGGGAAGGAATTACTATAGGGGGATGAATTACTATATGGGGGGTGAATTACTATATGGGGGGATGAATTACTATGGGGGATGAATTACTATATGGGGGATGAATTACTATATGGGGGATGAATTACTATGAGGGATGAATTACTATGGGGGATGAATTACTATATATGGGGATGAATTACTATATGGGGGATGAATTACTATGGGGGATGAATTACTATATGGGGGATGAATTACTATGGGGGATGAATTTTCATACCGTTTGTTACAACATATCTTTGCGAGCAATCCTTTTCGAGGATGCTGGACATAAAGACGAAGAAAAGGAACAGACTTTGTTGCGAAAATGACATGAGAGTGGCACTTGCCAAGGTAATGCCGCGCATTTCTGAACTGGCCTCTGAAAGACAACAGCAGAAGTCACACTGATTTGCGGTAAATATTCATTATTTTGTTTTTGTGTGAAAATCATGTTTTAATGGTTTTGTTCTTTGTTCTTAATGGTTTTGTTCATTTTGTGCACCTATGTATAGGTGCACAAAAGAGGTGACATGAGAGTGGCACTTGCCAAGGTAATGCCGCGCATTTCTGAACTGGCCTCTGAAAGACAACAGCAGAAGTCACACTGATTTGCGGTAAATATTCATTATTTTGTTTTTGTGTGAAAATCATGTTTTAATGGTTTTGTTCTTTGTTCTTAATGGTTTTGTTCATTTTGTGCACCTATGTATAAATATATACCTATGTTTTGAATTTTAAAAATCATATTTTATATTTTTCCAATTAAGAAGGGTTCGGTGAATGCGCATATGAAACTGGTGGGGTTCAGTACCTCCAAAAAGGTTAAGAACCACTGATTTAGGTAAATGAGAAAAATATCATTTGCATAATAATTTGGAACACGAAGTAATAAGGTACTGTGTCTGACCCCTCCTTTTCCTACAGTCCACAACAGCCTCGACCTCAAATTCTTCTTCCCCGTCCACGTGTATGGGCTCGGGGGGTCTTGACCTACGATTAGGAAACGGATCGGGTACTACAGGCTTCAACAGTGACACATGGAAGTTTGGGTGTACTCTAATGGACTCTGGAAGTGCCAATTCGTACGAGAGATTGTTAATCCTGCGTCTTACCGGAAATGGGCCCACAAACCTTGGTGCCAACTTCCTCGAAGGGCATGCCATCTTCAGATTAGTTGTAGCCAGCCAGACCTGGTCTCCCGGATGCAGAATCAGTTCTCTCCTTCTCCTCCTGTCGTAGACCCTCTTGTTGTCTTCCTGGGCTTTTGTGACCGCCTCCTGTAACAATTTATTGTTAGAGACAAAGAAATTTAGCGTATCCTGGGCAGCAGGAACAGAAGTTTCTGGGATCAGATCAGGTAAAAAGGTAGGGTGGAACCCATAGTTGGCAAAAAATGGTGATTGTTTAGTGGCAGAATGGCTAGCGTTATTATATGCGAACTCTGCCAGAGGCAAGAGTGCCACCCAGTCATCTTGGAGGAATGATGTGTAACATCTGATGTATTGTTCCAGAGTCTGATTGGTTCGTTTGGTCTGTCCGTTTGTTTGTGTGGTGGTAGGCAGAGGAGAACGATAACTTGATTTCCAGGGTTTCGCATAGTGCTCTCCAAAATCTCGAATTAAATTGCTCACAGGAACTCCATGGAGTCTTACGATTTCTCTAATGAAAATCTGAGTAGTTTCAGAAGCAGAAGGTGTATTCTTTAATTGCAAAAATTGGGCCATTTTTGACAACCGATCCACTACCATAAAAATAGCAGTATGTCCTTGGGAAGGCGGAAGTTCCACTATAAAGTCCATAGTTATCATCTTCCAAGGCCTATCAGGTACTGGTAGGGGTATAAGTAAACCCCAGGCTTTGTTTCGGGTGGTCTTGTTCCAATTGCAGATGGTGCAAGTCCTGACGTATGTTTTGCAATCTTTAGCCATATTCGGCCACCAGAACGTGCGTTGGCCCAATTCCAATGTCTTGAAAGTCCTGAAGTGGCCTGCTAATGGGTGATCATGGCAGTAACCCAGGACAAGAGTTTGTGACCCTTCGGGTACCAACATTTTCTCCCCTTTCCATAAAAGCCCTTCCCTGCTCTGTACAGTGATTCCAGGTGTGCTGGATCCTCCTACTGATGCCTGTTGCAATTGAAACAAAATTTCAGACTGTAATAGCAAGGAATTTCCTGCTGGTAGAATGGTGTCCGGTTTTGGAGATTCCTTTGGATCCTCGAACATGCGTGAAAGCGCATCAGGTTTAGTGTTTTTGGATACTAAACAATATGGTAGTGTGACCAGAGCACCCCTACCCAAGGAAAGGAGGTTATTAAATGATCCACGCGGAGTAATATGGGTTCAAAGATTACAAACAGTATTTTATTCGATCACATGGATCATAGGGAGGTTAAACATGAGCACGGTGTACATATCAAACAAATAAAATCATTTTAAAAGCACTTGGCGTCCTCATTTCTGGGTCATTTTGGCAAATAGAGTACCATATAAGGCAATGTAAGGTAGTGGTGTGGCTTTGGTTCTAGGTTTCCATAGATCTCCAGCTTGTATCAGGATAAACCATATATTCGGTAAGTATATTTTCAGTATGAGCCAGGGTGTGTAGAATAGCCTTCTGGCCCCTGGAAACTGGAACATAAAAATAGAAATAAGTATATATGAAAATGTAGGAGCTAATCACAGCTAAGCCGTACCAAACCTCCCTATAAAGTGGTCAGTGAGCACTTCATTACCTTCTCAGTTGTAAGCCTGTCATACCCGCTTCTCAATTGTGGAGACTTCCTGGGTAGCCACCCCAAGTGAAAAAAAAGTCCACAGTACCAAATGATTCTGGGGATATATATATAAAAATTATAATATGGATCACAAAGCATCAATTAAACCCTGAAAACAGAAACAAAATATGGGTATATTACCATCAATGAGGATCAAGAGGACTCCCGTCGACTTGAAATAGGATCAGGTCCTTGATGCTTGTTTAAAGATGCATATGGGGGTGGGAAGCCAGGTGGTCTCAATACATAATTCCCAACACATATATTATGTATGTAGCAGGCCGTGAGTACCTGAGTCTATATACCCAATGAAGGGTTTCCAAAAATTACTCAATCTGAGAAAAATAAAGCGGTTTATATAGGATATGGCTTTGTCACAGCAAACAGTGCCTCAATAGGATTGCATATGTATATATATATATTTTTAATCCTCTGAAGAGGATTTCCAAAAAATTCCCCGAAAAAATAGGGTAAATTAGGCACATATAACATACCCTCTTAACTCCATATATGCT